ATTATATGTAAAACATTTATTTTTTTATATTAATTGATGGGGAATGGGGATGGGGGCAAAATTTGCCCTCCGTTAAAAATCCCTGCAGGGATAGGGACGGTGAGGGATTCTCCGACCCCGTGGGGCCTCGTTGACATCCCTAACTCAACCCACCCGTATGTCATGTGATTCAAATATAAAACTGTTTACTTCCAACAAAAAGAGAAAGATGATTACTAAATTAATTAGATTGTTGGTAAATAAATTTTACTAATTAAAAATTAAGAAATAAATAATTTAAATTTTATATAAATATAATATATAAAACCTATATATAAATGGGATATTATTCAATTTTTTTATATAAGTGGATTATTAGTTTTACCAAAAAATTTTAAAATATAAAAATAAATTAAATAAAAAAAGAAAATGATACTTCTTCAACCATTTATTTTAAAATTTATTAAAGTTAGATATGAAGCGCACTGGTTTTGAAATAATGATTAAATGACTGTCACAACATGCATTCTAATTTTGTTAGAGGTTCCTATTATTAAATTTTCCCTTTTTCTCTGATCCATAAAAGGAAAATTGATGAATTATGCAGTAGGCATTATTTACTTGCTGTACAATTTTTTCCTTCTTGCTCCTTTCCAGTGGTTGTTATGATTTCCATATAATTTATCTTGTTGCTTTTGTAAATTCAACAAAAATAGTCATTTTATCAACCATCTAAAGATTGGCAAAAAAAAAAAAGGTATAACCAAATTGTGCCAAATTTATTTTTAGGAAAAATAGCTTTTTATAAAGTACATTTATATGAATAATTTAAGTTCACACTAATCAATCAATAAATTAATTAAAACAATTCACACCATCAACCTTAAGTGGGTTGATAATATACAATAAAAATCTTAACTCATGGCAAAATTTAAATTTATTTTAAAACAATCATAATATTGTCTTGTTTTTCAAAAATTTTCCTTATTAAAAAAAAAAGGACAATTCATTTAACAAATATTT